CAATTATAGGAAAAATCATAATCACTATTATTTTGGTCAATGTTGAGATCACAATTATTTAACAAGACTTTGGACATATCATACATTAAAAACAACATAAACACCCTGTCTTTTAACAGTGGGTTTTCTTGACCTTTAACTATGATTCAACCAAAAAATTAAGTATTTCTTCTACCTAATGGTGACTGACATCTCAGAGGAAATTTCTTATTACACAATCTTTATTTCACAAATAAAACTGCTACTTCAGGTTAAACATGTTGCCTGCCTAACCTAAAAAAAAAAAAATGCTGGGCTCACCACAATGCAGCCACATCTATCTCTTTTCTCTCGCTCAACAGTAATGCCACAGTCCTCTTTCCATGTAGCTTGTTCATAACAGTTAGCTATTAGCTTAACAAGTACGCTGTGGTTAACACAAGCTGGCAGTGGATGACAGACCACAGGCAAAGCTAAAATTATCACTTCTCTGCAAGTTTATACACGTTTTATAGGTGTTTCAACAGAACACTAAAGATAGTACAAAGCTGTACAACTTGAATACTCGAGTCTTCTGACCATTAACCCCGTTTTCCAGCGATTTCCTGATGTTGAGAAGCAGCAGTACACTTGGGGATCACATATTTAAACTCCAAAATGACAACAAATACACAGCAACCTTTTTTTATGCAATTATTTTGTTTACTTTCCTAATACACATTCTTTTTTTCTTGTTCTCTCAGTGTTATCTTGTTTATTTGTTGCATTATGGAAGAGCATTGTACATGCACATTGAAAGTCACAGCAACAGAGTCAGATTCCTTGTGTGTTCAACATACCTGGCCAATAAAGCCGATTCTGATTTTGTTAGCTAAATAATAAAAAACCACCACAAGTCAGTCCTAGCTGTGAAAGCAGTGCATGGGGTCATCAGTCTATGAATCTGACTGCTACATGCACTTTTGCTAATGCCAGATGTGACAGAACATGTGACAAAGAAGTGCAGTCACTTTATTTGCTAGTACCCACCCAACTAAGTTTCTACAACTATTTCAAAGTTAATAAAAAAAATCTGTGACTGTGCATTCAAATTCCTGCAACTGATTATTCTGTTAACACCGGTGAACAAAAGCAAGATAGCAGAATCCTTGAAACACAGTGGTACTACTTGTCTGTCTGCAAAAGCCTTCACTGACAAGCTGATAAGAAGGCATTAACCTCCCAACTGGCTTCCTTTTGACTTCCTCTGAGGGTGAGACCCATCTATGAAACTTGATGCCATCTAGGAGATCATTTGTTGAACGAAACTATATCTGAAACTATAGGTCCTGCCTAAAAAAAAAGTGACAATAAAACCTCATGAAAATCTTTTCACATTGCCAACATTTGCAAGAGGCAACACCAATGTTTGTACTTTGGTTAAAATGATCTCACCTTATTTATACACATTTGATAATACTGCAATCACTTAACAAGCAGTTGAAGTTACAACCAGGTACAACCCCAAATCACTAAAAGTTGGGACAATATGTAAAATCAAAATTAAATCTAAAAATAATCTGTAAATCATCTGTGTCCTGTACTACAGTGAAATCAATACAGCAGCACAGTATTTGATGTGATGCCTCATCAATTTTATTCTTTGTTCAAAATAAACTCTCACTTTGATTCTGATGCCTGCAACACATTGCAAAAGAAGTTAAGACAGCAAAGCGTTTACCACGGTGTGATGTTGCCGTTCCTTTTTACAACACTTAAAAGACATTTAGGGACTGAGGACACCAAGTGATTAAGTGTGTCAGGTGTAATTTTGTCCCATTCGTCCTGCAAACAAGTCTTAAGGTGTGCAACAGTCCTGGGTCTTCGCTGATGGAATTTACGTTTTTAAATGCGCCACACATTCTCTATTGGGGACAGGTCAGGGCTGCAGGCAGGCCAGTCCAGCACTCACACCCTTTTCCTCCACAGCCAGGCCTTGGTAATGTGGCAGTGTGAAGCTTTGCATTGTCTTGTCCCTGGAAATGATGTCATCTTGAAGGCAGCATATGTTGCTCCAAAATCTCTATGCACTTTTCAGCATTAATGGAGCCATCACAGAAGTGCAAATTACCTTTGCCAAGGGCACTGAAACAATCCCAGACCATTTGTGTCTTTGGCCCAGAGCACACAGTGTCCATTCCTTCCAAAAAAAGACCTGAAATACTGACTCATCTGAGCACAATACATGTTTCCACTGTGTGATGGTCCATCCCAGATGCAGATGTCCAGAGCAGTCTCCTGCGCTTCTGGACACTGTTGACATAGGGCTTCCTTTTGGGACAGTACAGTTTTAAGCTGCATTTATGAATGTAACTATGTATTGTAGTGCCTGACACAAGTGTGCCAAAGTAATCCTGAGTCAATTTGGTTATATTGCTTATAGAAGAGTGATGATTCTTGATGCAGTTTCGTCAGAGAGATCTGAGAACACGGTCATCCAGCTCAGACTTGCGCCCTTGCCCTTTGGGTGTCACGTTTGTACCAAATCATGACTGCAATCACCCCTTGACATCACCTGTTTCAAATGGAATCATTTCATTGTTTTACCTCATTATTAGCTCTGAAATGCAGCCGTCCCGGCTTTTTTTGGAACGTGTTGAAGCATCAGAATTAAAGTGACTGTTTATTTTGAACAAGAACAAAATTAATGAGCTTTCACATCAAATAATGTGCTGCTGTATTGTTTTCAGTGTAATAGAGGACACAATATGATTTATGCATCACTATTTTCAGTGTTAATTTTGATTTTACATACTGTCCCAACTTTTTCTGATTTGGGGTTGTACACTAGTTCATAATAAATATTTAAAAACCATATGAAGTGATGTAAGGGAAGAGGATATTGTCTATTTACTTGCAGGTAAAAATGGCTCTGTAGATAGTGAAGTACACAGACACTCCAGCAGAGCCAAGTTTTTCCATTGACAGAAGCCTAACCACTTTACACAGATCATTCAATTTATCTTGAAAGGTTGTTAAGATGACAAATCATTTCACTCCTCCAGACATTACACATTAATCCAAATGTTTTTTCCAAGTAAGATATAACAAGTATATAGACACTGGTAAACAAAAATACTTCATCCTTGTTACAATTCTTACTGGTTTCAGCTCAACAGCTGTCCTCAGCTCAAGCTACGGTGATAGATATGGGCCTGATACTTGAGCCAGAATGTATAGCTCTGAACTCTTTACTGTCAATGGGTATTTCAAGTGAGGAAGGGAAGCTACATAAGAAGATTAAAACCGCCACCAGCAAGAGCCTGAACCAAATATCACTTCCTGTCTTTACATGTGCTCAACTGCCTGCTCCAACTGCTGGGCCCAGCCCTGCTATACTGGAGTGCAGCTAACAAACAAGCTTCTGTGGGTCAGAGGCATACAACTGAAGTAGACTGTCAGGTAAAGGTATACATGGGTGCCTGAGAACACCACTGCAGGAGAGGCAGAACCCTCGATTTTCCTGCCTTCACCTGAGCTAGCATAGCACACAGAAAAATTCTAAGCCAACATGGACGTGGATGCTTTAAACAAACATGAATGGCAGTGTGTGTGTGTCACAGAAAAGGAAAACGGGAGGTTGTTTTGGTGTGTCTGAAGGGAGTGAGCACTGATGTGAAATGGCAGCAAAGACAGACAGCAGGCCATACTGTGCTGTACTCGGTTCAGAGTGAGGAGACTGCACAACAGGCCTTTGACAGAGCACGTTTTATGCGAGTGTGTGTCTGCCGGAATTCATGCTACTTCAGGTCAGATTTCAGAGTGCACATTCAGACTGTACTTGTGGCAAATTGGTTCTCATCAATACCAGTCTTCTAACATGACTAGTATTATTAGGCCTGCTTGTGCGTGAAGAGGGGTTCTAAGGCAAATCATTTCCAGCACTCTGGGAAAACATTAGTCATGGTGCATTCAAGAACACTGCATGGATGTGTAATAATGCACCCCATCAAGAGCTGATGATACTTTGGATAATGTGCTTTGTGTGCTCTATCACCACCTTTCTCGTTTGTTAACCCCAGGTAAGCATATCCCGACAGGGACTGATTTTCAATAGCCATTCATATGTCCATTAGACAAAGTATCTACAAAACATATAAATCTATCTAAAGCTATCTGTATGCCAAGCAAAGCAGACCCCACCCACCTAGTAAGTTTAGTGCCGAGTTATACGTGTCCTTCATTTTGTTGCGAAGCTACAGTCTGGTTATTGCAGCATTAAAATTTCAATTCAATATTCAGCTAATACTGACCATCTTAATTAACTCAAATTGTGCTCCCATGTGAATCTGTGACCTCGAGTAATTCACTATGGGTAAAACTGATGAGATTACCACCGTAGCCGAGATTAGGCTACTGCTTTTGACTGAAAACTAATCATGCTTGACTTGACACACAGTCAGTGAATTGGACACAGACATGTCCACCTCGGTCCACGCTGCTCTGGCATAGACAAAAATTTGGTTGCATGACTACATTGTTCTCTAAAGGAACTTAGAATTGCTGTTCCGTTTATTATTTGCGTCACATAATACGTTTTTCGGGAAAGGCTAGACTTTAGCTAACACGATTAATCCGTTTTCTTCAAAGCAGCGGTGCCAGCCAGGCCCAGGCCAGTCTTTAGGAAGCATTAGCTTAGGGTAACTTAAATCAATACACTTGCCTTAAGCCATTATCTTGGCGAAAAATACTAATTCTGGTTTCTAAATGTATACCATTATGTACGAGGTAACGTTATAATTTCCTTTCTGGTCCGGTTGTGTCGCCACCTTCCAGACGTTAGCTAGCTAACTGTTAGATTGCCTAGCTAGCGACATACCTGTCCTCTGTTGAGCTGTTCAATTCATTCACAATAAAATGTGAAAGGTGCATTTTTAAGAGAACAGATACAAGCACAGTTGGGCTACAAAAGGAGGAGGGGGTATTAAGGCTATTTAAAGCACTAGGAACAGAAAGGAAGAACGGTTTTCTCACGTTCTTACCTTGTCCAGACAGTTCACTTTTTCCGTGGGGTAAACGATCTGATTGCATCTGCTGCACACGGGATTCATATTGGAGGAATGCTCTTCTAGCTAGTTAGCACAGAAAACGCCGATGATACTGGTTGTAGCTGTGTGCTGCCGTGTATTCGCGTCAAAAACTAGCTATAGTGTAAGATTATGATCAGTAACAGACTAACACTAATCTAGTTGTATGTAAAAAAAATCCAGGAGGTTGTTGTCGTTGTAGCCGCACAGCTGGCTGTCAGTCCACTAACCAGACACGGAAGGCGCGTTCCCGCTGCCCCTCTATCCCTCCCTCGGCTGCGCGTGTTCGTGCACGGAGGAAGCGGGAGTGTAGAAGGTTCTTTAATTTTGGAAAAAATATTTGCTTTTCATTTCAGAGGAGGAAGTATTGCATATGTACAGAATGAGCTGCATGTTTACGCCAACAACAGACTAGTGCCTGTTTGCCTGTAAATGAAGAAACGGGTTCATTTGTGTAACATCCTGGTCGAACCTTCTGCATGTGCAACATATCTACTCGTCCTTGTCTCAACGGTGCTTGTATAGCAAACTCATGCGATCGTCTTTATTGCAAGGGTTTGGGGGGGGGGGCTTTACATGCAGTGATCTCAAATGACATTTTTACACATCTGCCACGTTCAGTGTGTGTCCTACTTGATGTATATTTGATACATTTGGTTAGGATGACACCTGCTGACAAAACGGTTGAATTGTATCCTCATATGCACAGGATTTTCTGTTGGGACTTCTGTGGCTGCAACATTTTTTTTAAAATTTATTTTATGTACAGCATAAAATAATGTTAAACCCGACATAAAACACACAGAAAAAGCATTACAAGCAAGATCAATATGTGCTCTTGCAAAACAAAAGGTGGAACTTCACCATCAAAAGTATCTGAAAGTTACAGCAGAGCTTATGTAGTTTTCTAAGGTTGTCAAGCTTGTGGCATGCATTTTACAGTTTACTGCAGTCAAAATAGATCAAGTTGTTTTTTTGCAAGGATGTAATACAATTTATTCTAGCACCACTAGGCCTATACATTTAAAATAAAATCATTCAATATTGCATATAGCCTAGCATTCTATATGGCTTAGAAGCACCCTATTGTGCATCAGTATAATAATTTTGCTATACAGTCAACAAATAGCTTGAAACAATCTTAAACTTAATGTAAAAGCTTTGGAATCTAAAGGTCTAGACAAATGTAGTGTATATGTTAGAATGTTTGTGGAAATCACTTCAATGCAAATGAGTTTTTTAAAATACAAGTTCCCATTCATGCATTCATGGCCCTGCTTCAGCAATGTTATCCTTCTCATGTCCTTCACCTTCCACTTCTTTGTAACCAGGTTGTTGCTTCTGAAACTTAAAGGAAGGCCAGTAGCTCTTGCGTCGCTGAAAAAAATGAAACACAGAGCCAAATATGCCTTAAGTGAACAACAGCTTGTTGGAGTTGTACAGTGTATTTACTATAGTGCCTACCTGGATGATGTAAAGTGGTGATGCAGTGGTAGGATGGTAGTTGATGTAAAGAGCTACAAGTACGAGAGCCAGGAGTAACAAAAGAGCAGCTGCTATACCAGCTATCACTCCTGTGTTAACCAGCCCTTCACTCTTGGTTGAAGAATCTGTCTTCACATCTGTTGAAGATGAAGACGCGTGATTAAACTCCCTTTATGTAGCAAAAACCATAAAGAATCCTTCAAGTATTAACTCACCATTGGCGTTGTTAAATATGTGATGTATGGTGTCGTCTGAAAGAAGATAAAAAGGCGTGACTGTAATGTTAGTTACAAGGAATTTACAACCCTCTTTTTTGAGCACCAAAATGTACCTTTATGGTGAAATATTTTGAAATGCTGCATAGATTATACTTTACTGACACAAAAAATTACTCAACCTCACCGTTATTTTTGCAGCTCTTTTGTAGCGGTGTCAAAGAGGTCACATTGTCGATCTCTGGTGTGATAGAAGAACTAGTGGAGCTGTCACCCCTGGAGTAATCCTCACAGTTTGCATGTTTGCTCTGTCCATATACAAGATAATAGATACATAAGGCTCAAAAATGGCAAAGAACTAGTAATGATTCAGCCATACCTCTTCTGAACAAGCATAGTCCAGCCATTCCTGTCTGTGTCTATCCATTCCATCTGAGCACCTAAAACACACCAGATTTAAATCAGTAGGGGTTAAAACTGCACTCTGTTACCATCAAAGTCAGTGGATTTCTTCACTCACCTCTGGAGTACATTACACCAGCTACAACCAGAGGTTTGGTTGGATGAGAGGCAGAGATCACAGCTGGCATATTGCAGGCAGGCTGAACAGAATTTTGAATGAGTGTTGATGCATACAACTGAACCAATCCAATCTTTTTGATGACTTGACATTGATTTAGTAGGGACATGAATGACTCACTAGGTAGTGCAGTGAACTCAACAGCAGAGTAGTTGGTGATTTTTGTAGTATCTATCACAACACGATGGTACTCATAAATCGTCCGCTGTTGGGAATCTGTATCGGAGATGCCTCAGGTTTATAGGATGCTTAAAGGTATTAATAAGACTGACAATGTGTTTTTTCAGGTGGCAGTATATCTGAGTAGACAGGTATGTTCATCATTGCTGACCCAGTGATTGAGAAGAGGGTGACATGACCATGAAGGCATCAGACAAACCAGCCTTCACTGGATGCTCAGCCGAACTGATCACATCTATTGACAGTGGTATCTGGTAAACAGAAAAAAGGAGGACCCACCAATGAATGCAGTAATAAGAAAGAGAACTATATGAACAGGTTTGGAAAGACTACTGAGGGCACAAAATAAAGGGGAACATCTCACCTCTCGGTAGCTGAACGTGATGGTTCCTGTTTTGTATAGGGCAGCCTGGAAGGTGAAAGCTCCTTTGGATTCTTTGCCAGAGAGTCTGACTCGCTCCCACTGGACCACAAACATCTCACCTGAAGACAGGTCAAACAGGTGTCATACAAATAATCAGACAATCTGAGAAACGAAGGCATGCTCAAATCTCAGGTGGTATTATACCATTATCCAGGTACTGCACAGTGGATTCTTTGGAGTAGCTGGGGTCAAAATTAGCCATTAGTGGGGCGATGTATTGCGTTGCAGTCAGCATCCGGTGAGTTATGTCTCCTGTGAAGATAAACCCTGAAAATGGCCAGATGGAAAAGATGTAAAGTTTGAATATGATTGGTTGCATTACAAAAACAGTTCTGTCATCTGCAGCAAAGGTCACTTGAACATCTGTCAGAAAATCAACAAGTACCTCCTGTTGCTATGGTAATCTGCCTCAGGTAATGGCCGTAAAAAGGAAAGTCAAATGACAGGGCAACCCTCTGCAAAAAAGAGTAGGTAGAAACAAACAGAGAGAGAGGGCAGGAGATATTTTCATAAATTTATGTCATTTTTAAGTTAACTAATCAACAGCACACAGATTGCAGTGTCTTGCTTTGATGTTATACTTGACTTGTTATCCCTCAGTGCTAAGAATCCTAATCAGCTATAAAAGGAGAAGAGAGAAGGAGGAAAAAGAAGAAGGAATTTACACTGAACTGAGATATAGTGTAAGACATGCAAATTGCTTAGTTATCAGGAAAATGTATTGTTTTATTTCTCTCAGTCAAAGTTAATTTTTACACACTACACTGACAATATAACTCTATGTGCTCTTTTAGTAACTCCACCATCTGTATGCTCAGACTTTAAAGTTGTGATCCTTAAGATTTTTATTAAACCAGAGCCCATTTTTGATACTATTTATAATCTGCATTTTTTTCAGCTATAGCCATTCGATGTATTTACATTTTGTCTTCAGTGCTCTCTATAGTAGTTTTCATTGGTAGTGTTGGAGTTTGCCATTCTCCCACTGGATTCAGATTGCCTAAATACACATGAGGGATTTACAAGAAATAATCAGGTAATTCAGCATTACTGTTTACAATTTGATCTCCACTATATTAACTTGAGTGTTTACTATCCTAGAGCCATATCAGAGAAAATTCTCTACACTCACCTTAAATTTCCTTGGTTTACTAAATGACATTCAGAGTTAACCTGAATAGTATTATTATTATTCTGTCAGTACCATTCATTTTGAAATTCCACTGACTCCTTGGACATTGACTTATGTAAAGCAGGGTAATTAAAATTCTATACACTCAAGGGGGTACCTAGATTCAAACTGGGGAACCTGTTGATCTGCAGTCAAATGCTCTACCACTGAGCTACACCCCCATATACCACAGCACTGCTGTTGGTCTTATCATAACATATAGTTAAATCCTCCATGACAGCTTTTCCCTACTGATTGTAAATATAAATAAAAATGTTTGTAGATAACTTACAAATAACAAAAGAGTGCATGCATTCATATGTTAAATAATTTAAAAATGTGTAAGTACTGTTGTGTATGAAGATAGAGGGTTAATGGCTTAGTGTCAGTAAAGCTTTGGTTACATTTAATAGATGTTTGGACCAAACATTTTCAAAATAAGGGGCCACCCAGATTTGAACTGGGGACCTGTCGATCTGCAGTCAAATGCTCTACCACTGAGCTATAGCCCCACTGACAGTCATTTTACACTTAAGCCAGAAAGCACATGTATAAGACTCACCACAGCTTGTTTGTATGAATTTGATAGAATGCCATGGAGTCTAACTTGGCCATGTCGGACATCACTCATGTCTACCCAGAGTTCATGTGTGCGCTGGTCCTTAGGGCCAAAGTTACACCATGTGTAGTACTTGTCAGAATCCTCCTTCCAGACAAAAACACATAGTGGATCAGAGATTATAATGGCATGGCTGTGTAAAGAGAGTGTGTCATACAGGCATCGAGAGTTAACTGTGAACATGGTTAAATCATATTCTGTAATACATCTGTGGAAAAGAGTAAAGTTTACTTTCCAAAAAAGGGCAATGTTTAACTCCAGTTTAAACAAATAGAATGTGTCAAAACCAAAAACATAATAAATGTCACAAACCATTACAGTTATAAGAAACACTGTGGTGCAGTACTCACCACCACATGTGTCATGTTGGCTGCCAGAGTGTCAATGGACAATCCTCCACCCAGGACCGCCCTGCTTATCCTACCATGACCTGAAGGTAACCTCTGGGCTTTATGAGGATGACCATCACCTCTAGTTGACTCTTCATGCTGCTGTGGGATCACACGATACGAATCATCTGTCAAAAATATAATACATAGCAGCTTAGTATGTTTAATTGTTATGGGACCCGATGATATAAACACTTGCATCTTTACTCTGTCAGCGGATACTTTCACAATCTGAATCCACTGATTACTAAACTCTTATTTCAATAAAACAAAAATAAAAATAATACATCAAAAGCACACCAGTGTTCTTTCTTTTATCCTGGCAGCAGCAATTCACAATTATGGGAATACTTTCAGAGGCCAGTCTTACTCAGGCTCTTAAGAATGATGTTTACAGTTGTGACTCAGTGCTCAGTTAGTCAGCCTAACAGGAATTTACAATTTGCATTTGAAATTGTCAGACTTAACCTTGGCAGCTAAAATGTCGAATAAAGACAGAAACAACAAAAACAGCATTTGCCTGTGCTTGAAAGGAACTGTCAAGTCCTACAAACAGTGTAGCCCATGTTAGATAAGCAAACTCAAGAAGGCTTTGTTTTAAAGTTTGAATTGATGACTTTCAGCCACATATTCAAAATATAGATTAAAGTCTATGATTCAAGGACACAATCAAGTTCCCTCTCTTGTGGATATTTGTAGTTTATGTTAGTGTCACACTGATTTTTGTTGGAGTGTGGAAAATGCACGTATACATTTATAGTACCAAAACTTGGATGTGGACTTGTGTTGTGTCCCTTGTTGTAGGAGTTACTAAATGTGCTAATTTGTGTTATGTTTTTATATCCTCAGCAATTTTTAAACAAGCTTGCAGAATTGTTTTGTGTAAAAGGAAATGTAATTCATAAAATGTTCAGAAAGACTGGGATTTCAGCAAAATTTAGAAATATACAGAAATATATTTGGCTTCCAACAAAACAACCCCCCACCCTGGGTGTCTAGTATTACAATAACATGTTTTTAGTAGTTTTCAGTATTGTTGTGCTGAAAACTTTCCAGCCACATTTTCTCTATTTTCCAGAGCTACTTCAAAGAAAGTTTATTCCCGTGCTCAGAAGTATATGCATGGCATTGTATAATTATTGCTTTAAACATTTATTTTTTAAAAAGTAATGAATAAATGAGGTGATCTCATTTGATAGATATTTCAAAATGATATTCAGGCCCCACCTAAACATAACTCCCACATTTCTGGCAGCCTGTCTTATATCTAGTTCCAGGTTGCCAAGGTAGTATCATATCACGCATTGCAGAAAATTTATTTTTTTAGATATAATTTTACTAGTTATATTAGACAGCCTTATGTTGGTTTACTGTTTACTTGACCCTTGCATGTGCATACACTCTGAGAGTTGATGTAGCAGAGACAAATTCCTACGGTACGTGGCTGTGACGTCACGGACATTCTATATAAACCCCGGAACAAAGCGACTTTTTTGCGGGGTGTTTTATCTAACCCTAAATACGGGTAGCTTGCTGTACTTCGTGTTTTCTGGTTTTCCTCTGGCTTTCAGCAAACTACAGTAGGTTTTTGAAGGAAAGTGGGAAACCAAAAAAGCCAAGAGAATCACTCCGCCATGTTCAGTTTCTCGGCAGAAATACCGTGAATAACCTGCCGTAGTCAGCCTGGCTGCTGCGAAGAGTTTGTCTCTGTTGCTCCGGTGTTTTCATGCCTGAGATACTCGACAACTGAATAGATTAAAACTGAGCAGGACGATTCTGCTGGATCCCCCAGTGGTCCGGTTAGGGCGCCCAAGCTCAGACACCCGTTAACATTTGACTCGGAAGTTGTGAATTTTCGCTATTACCTACTAGTTTCCTCGCTCTTCTTTTCATGCTAATGCTAGCTAACGGTACTCACGGCCTCTCTGCAAGCTAACTAGCCTGTCTTCAAAGCTTAAGGAACCACCAGACCAACTAGAAAACTGGACGAGTTCATATACCGATGTGCTGCAATAGTGGCATTATTTAACCCGTGTTCAATTTTAGATCTGTATTTGACATGTGGTTGAAAACTGGGTTATTTGGCTGGTGGCATGTTTTTTGACATTAACGTGTATGCTCCAACTCTAATTGACTTTGCATTGCACACAGATGTTTTTTCTTCCTTGTGCCCAGAAACCAACCAGTACTCTAGAGTTGAAAATGCAGTATTTGTTGATTAATCAGTTGGATGATTGACAGATAATAAAGTGGCAACTGTTTTGATTGATTGGATTTTTAAGCAAATTGCCCAAAATTCACTGTCACCAGCTTCTCAAATGTGGACATTTGCTAGTTTTTCATGTGTTTTTTAAGAATTGTAAATTCTGAATTGGAGGACCCATATAGTACTTGAAGTGGAGAAAAAAAAAATCCAATACCATGTAGACTCCACTGATATGGAGTGAATATGGGGCTTTTTGTGCCCAGTTGGTAATTCAGCCTTGCTCCTTTGTTGGGCAGTTATTTTGTGATTTATCTTGATTAGCCTATGCCTTGAATTTATCTTAATTTTGAATCAATTTGCTTGTGGCATGGCTGAGAATACATTTTGCTAGCACATATTTTTGACTGGCTGCTCCTGATGGAAGATGTACATCTTAACATTTAATGCAAAGTAGTAAAACATGTCAGACTCAGTGTGTGGCTGCTTATTCAATAACATACAATAAAGCTGGATTTTGAGGTGTCAACTGTACTGGTCTCAAGACTCCAAGTATATGCTTAATTTTTCTGAATTGTGATTTTAAAGTACTTTAACATCAGCCATTTTACACATGTTCTAGCCTAATTAAGAACAGCAGAGAAATTCCTTGCATGTAGACATAGCTCCCACTCCCTCTCTTTTACAGTGCATGAGAAAATTAACACACTAGAACTTAATCATTCCTCACTGTAGTTTTGGAGATGTTCGGTGTTAAAGGGAGAGTAGTTATTTGAAAACATTTGTCTAAAAACCCCCAAAAAGGTTTATCAACAATGAAACACTCTTTAGAATATTATTGAGTGCACATTTTTGTGAACCTCTAACGAGATCCTGTGAGTGCCAGCACCCAGTGCAGTTCCCTTATGTCATTGAAAGACTGGCACTGGTTTGATGCTTACATTTCTGTCTTGAGTGTGGGAGGGAAATGCAGGCCTGTTGGTCCCTCAGCCTTGTCTTGTGCCAAACCCCCAGCGTTCTTCCGTAGCCATAAGACGGCAGAGAGTATTTTAAGTAGTTTCTGAAGTGACAACCCAAAAGTCTTGACCTTATAAGGAACTTATTGTATTTGTTCATAAGTGTGTACATTCATGGCAGCCCATATGTGTGATTGTTGAGCACAGGGTCCACCCAGTCACGGCATCTTTATGAGGTAAGAGTATAATGTGCACAGAGTTGTTGAGGCATACAGTGCAGCAGATAAACATGGTTTAGACGCTGGGAGGAGTGCAGATACTGAATATGAAAATGTGGCTTATAATATCTGCTCAGGTCATTGTTCCCCCAGCCAGCCAAAACGCTGGCAGATAACCAAAACAGTGAGATGGGGGCCATATTGAATCAGCTCTCCTGGACAAACTGCCAAAAGCTCACTCTCATGAATTATTCAATAGATTGTACATACTCTGACCTCTGCACAGCTGGATATTTAATAAAGGAGTCAAAACTTTACTAGTGTGACTTTCTTGGTAATATTTAAACTCAGTTGATTTCCACAAACATGAACAACGGAGATATCCTTATTATAAGGGCTCAATATTTTTAATGTTTCAAATGACTCTGAAATACACACTAATGCGTTAGAGTCAATAGTAATATTGCAATTACATAAAAACAGAAACAGAAGTACTTCTACTCCATATTCATAATATCTGTCTACCTTGATTTACATGTACATGGAAAATAATAAGGGAGGATGGCAACAGAATACCCAAGCAAGTACTCAGTGCCTATCTATCTTTCTGTCTCTCTCGCTCTCTCTATTGCACCATATGATTGATATTTGTGAGTCAGAAAGTGAAAAAAATTTCAAAACCACCCCTGGTCTAGAACACAATTTAGGTCTGTATCAGATTCAGCCGGTTTGTTTTAAGGTGTTACAGGGCAATGAGAGCAGCACTGAGACAAAGGATGACAACAATAAACCCCAATAAGGTAAAACAGGAACCTTTTTTTTAAAGATAGAAAATGACAGGACAGATGTTTTGGGACAGAATTTTTTAGGAGCTACCAAACCCTAACATTTAGCTGCCTTTTTCTGTGAGTGGTCAGTTCAGAGCGGTCTGAGAGGACACACCCTTCCTGAACAGAGGCTGGATGAGTTGGCATGGATTCCTCAACATCACACACACTGCCCCATGAGTGCAGTTGTATTACAGATGTGTAATTCACTGGTGTTATTCCAGCTAAATTTCATGCGGATAATTAAGCCTATTTTGTCTTGGAGTTCTTTATATTTGTCAAAATAAATGAGCATATTTATCTGAACTCTCCAACCTCGGTTACAGTAACACTTACCATGGTCTTAATGCTTTTGCTGGAACTTCCTTTAATAAATAGCACAGTGGAATCTTAAAAATAACAAATGTATCAGGGTGCAGCAAAGTTACATTTCACAATAACACTACAAAGACGAGACGTTCCAATTTTAGTCAAGCTTTGATAAGAAAATATGAGTGCACTGATGATCTCATGTTTCTGCTGTAAAGGTGAAACCAAGTCTCTGCATAGAATATGTAAAAACATCATTTCTGCTTTTGATTGTTTGATAAGAGAAATGAATGATGGAGACAGAGTACTGGCCAAAAACATTTCCCATACACATGCTGTTCCAAATTCAACCATAATTCAAAGAATAATTTGATCATCAGTTGGCAGATAGCTGTTTTTGTTCTTGTCATTTTAATTTCCTACAACACAGCCATGTTTTGCTATCACAAGTCAAATGACTTTTATAAGGTAAGATTCAATTAGGGATCCGCAGACAATAACATCCTATCTCATACAAAGTAATCTTTTGTACTTTGTTTGTCATTATTCCAGTTTATGCTTATAGCTCCAACATGTCTGGATCAGCTTCAAGCTATTTGTTAAGCAAACGTCTCAGCAAGACAAGAGACAAGAGGCCAAAAACTCAGGTCATTGCTGGGTACACAATTAATTTTTAGCTCGGGGTTCAGTGTTTCCACAGTCTGGTTTTGATGGTGTACAAAAGACTCTGTAGGGACCAAAATCATTTTGAAAAACAGAACACTAATGTCTCAAGGCACATAAAACAAATTAGATAAAGGAAAGGAAGATATGCTAAATACATACAATGTCGCAAGCACATCTCCTTTTGTGATGCTCTTTCATCCGCAAGACATTCCCTTATGGAGAACCCAGTGGGGGTACCAGATGATTTTACTTTTTTAATCCTGTCATAATGAAGTAACAACCCATATTAGCTGAAGAACAATCTGAAAAGTAAATGTATGGAAAAACAATGACTAATTCTCCACTTTACATAGTATCTCAATAATCACAGATGTTTTATGTCATAAATCGCTGATGGGAAAAACGGGGAGGTGTGCAGATGTGTTTGTTAGTCAACTTCATCAAAATTAGAACTATATTAAATACACCGCCTGCATTTCACTCTGCATTCGTCCACTTCACAACAGCTTCCTAAAATTTCCTGCTAGAGTTTAGCAGGGAGGCAAGGAGAAAACAAATCTAATTTTAAACTTTCAAAAGGCTGTTTGTGGGATGTTGTTTAGACTCAGTCACATGCTTGTGGATTAGAGTATTTTCATTGTGCACTTTATTGTAAACTAGGTCATTCACTTTTGAGTGTGAAATGAAAAGGGCATGGCATCTCCATGTGCTGCTCCATAAAGATTTCTTTTCCAGTTCTGTGGTTTACAGTGAGTTTAAAAGGCAACAGTAGCACATACAGTATTAATACAAAAATAGATAATAAGAGTATTAGCTATTCCTTTAATGACAGAGGAAATGGACAGATGGTTGTAACAACCAATTTGATAAACTTTTTGCATGCAACATTTATTTCCACAGGCTCTGAAATGTTAAATATCATGGATCATAAGATAAAAAGTGTTAAAGCTGTAAAAAAAACTACATCTGTTTGATTTGTGTGTGACTTTAAAGATGAGACAAGAGGCAGCGTGCAGAAGAAATATTGGAGAGATTAAAGCAGTGATGATGGGAAGGAAAATCCATAGCTCACCTGTTTGCTGTTGAACCCAAACTTTAGCCAGCTCTGTTTGGTAAAGACAGAGGAATAGTATCACCAAACTGAAACGCATGTTGGGCAGCAATAGACAAAAAAGGAAAAACAACTTTGTCCCAGCTCTTCTCTTCTTCTTCCTCTTCTGCTCTTTGCAGAAACAGTTTTCCTCAAATCCCACTTCCTCCCTCCAAATCACACTCTCTCCACACACAACCCTGTTTCTAACTACACCCTTTCTCTCTTTCTCATTGCTATTCGCCCATTGTCATGGTGATTGTAAAGACACAATGACCAGCTGATGAGGCTTTAAGCACAGAGGAGGAAGTCACCATCTTCTATACACTTTAAACACCTGGACATCATGTTGTCCTCTTTTTACTTTCTAAAATTACACACTTTATTCCTCTTGTTTGGATCCCAGCAGCATTACTGTGAGTGATAAAAGTATACATTTGCTGGAATTTCACTGGGTAGCAGCATTATGGCGCCTCCTCCTGTCTAAACCAGCTGTGAACACAGTTAGAAATGTGACATGGAGATCATGATGCTAACAGTGCCAGGCCTAAGATCAGTGCTAGTTCTGATATTACACATTCCATGTCAAGTGTGTTTAGAACTCAGCAAAACATAATGTCTATTTTTCTTTAACAAGATCCATTTGTGGCCAACATGAAACGGAAAAAGGCTCTTTGTTGCAGTTTAATTTCCAGCAGTTGTGTAAAAAAGCTGTGTTTTTTATGGCACATAAAACTGACAGAAAGCAAGGTTTACAAGCACTGTTTGGCTGACTGTCTCTTAGCCACCACTTTCATCATTTCTATCTGCTTTTAGAGCAAACACAGAGTTCTTGGCAGAGAAAATGGCAACTGGGGGTTTTGGATTCACAGCGGGAAAGATGATCAGTACCCTGTCCCACAATTCAGACCATAAACACTGCATAAATGTCACATCAGGAAGTGCTGGGCTTTTACCCATGGGTCATGCTGACTTTAACAAGCGCTACACAGAAGTTGGAATAACTATCATTTTCACAACTTTCACAGTTCTCTTATCTTCTGGAAATTATTACACTTTCTGTGCATCATGTTAGTATTTTTTTCATGAAGTACTCTGATGAGGTGAATTCGAGTAAAGGCCATCTACAGCAATCAGACATGAAGACAGATGCATAGAGGGACGCAGATTGGTTAGAAAATAGTCTGCACACTTTGAGATATGACTTATGTGTATAAATGGATGTAATATCAAGATAGTCTTTAAAAATACTATAACCCAGAATGTCTGCCGTGAAAGGGAGCCATAGGCTATAGGTTTGTGCACACGTTAGCATTAAATAAAAACTACAAAAAAGGAAATAACCAAGAAACTATCGAACCTGTAATGTATCAGGGGTATATCTCAGTGGTAGAGCATTTGACTGCAGATCAAGAGGTCTCCGGTTCAAATCCGGATTCCCTCTCAGTTAACTTTGTTCTTTCTTGCCCTTGCATTTACAAAATTAGTCTTCTAAGGTGGCAGACATTTCAGAACTATATAATATTGCAATAATTCCTTCTATATATGCTGATTTTTTTACCTTCAGAAAAGACAAGACTTCATCATGGATTTAGGTTTAATCAGTCAGAAGGCATATGCTACAGTAGCCTATTTGTAGAATAAAAAGCCATGATTTGTTCTGTAGGGCTTCCAAAACTAGATGCTGTGGGTGAGTGTACTAACACATTTTTATCATTACTGTTACTACAGGTATAAACCTCCAGGATTATGCTGTATACCCTTTCCTAAAAGAATATTAGCCTACAGCTGCAAGACAAACAACACACTCAAAGCACATTTTGCAGTAACAATATATATTTTAAAAAATTACAGTACAGAAAATATATACATTTTAAATATGACTCATAATCATTGGCAGATATCTTATTTTCCTGTTCAGGAAATTGTTGTAATATACATATCAATTGTACAGTGGTCAAGTTTTACAAAATAAATTACTAAAGGATAACAAAGTCCTGTTGTTCACTGGCAAAAAAAACATAACAGCATAAATAAGTGCAGACCTTTATCCCAATATTGCAGAGTATCTGAGAAGAGGCCACAGGAGCTACAGTATGTGCTTATAGTTTCCATAGAGGTTTAATGCTAGCATCTAATTTGCAAATGAAAAGCTGTTGTGAAACTTGTAGAGTACTAAACGTGGAAGGAGTTCACTGACAAGAATCAAAGGTCAAAATGAGATCATGATTGTCTCATGCAAAGGTTTCTATAAAATTCAAGTGCATCAGATTAGCCCACTGAAACTGTAATTTAAGAAAAAAACACTTTAAATATGTGCTTTAGTCTTACTAATTATCATCTGTGACCCACCTGCCTCATGTTTTCTCTTATCTCATTGCTCAAAATTAAGCGGGTAACATTGTTGGTTCACTGTTTAGTTCTAGTAATAGATGAATACAGTAAAATTAGGTAAGATGTTGTTGTCACTTATTTAACCTTAATGAAATGAAAGACCTCTAATTAAACCAAAGTAGAATGTGATATTACCGGTCAGGGACGATATAGTGTGTAAAAATAGTGCAACTCAGCAAGTGTCATGTGAGAAATTTACAGTAAATACAAATAAAACAATTCCTAAATGTGCACTGAGAAAAACTTGTTATAAGAAGACTGAGTGGTTCTTGAAGCGTACAAAAATCAACACCCAGAAGTCTGCTGTCTTGATATGAGTGTATCTCGGTGCACGTCTCCAGCCCTGGGAGCATCTGGGTTCTTCAGTTGCATGTCTGCCCCTGAGGCTCAGCTACTGTATACACAGTGCACCTCTTTGCAGGTAAGACATATAGTACTGTATAGGATTTTTCCCAAAACAAGAAAATAATCCAGACACTGTGGCCTGTGCAGTTTTTGAGGTTGGCTCAGTTTGAGGATGCTTCATCTCCTGGACAGAGTTTTAGTTTGCAACAACCTGCGACTTCATCCAATCCAGACTAGCAGGCAGACTGTAGGAATAGAGAACAAAGTGGTGAGAAGACATACAATAAAGTGCAGACGCTGATGTTAGCGAAAGTGTCTTTGCCTTTTTCTCTTGGCTGTGCTCTTAGTCATTTTAAGGAGCGACTCACCCACAATAAAGGGTGGCAGAAAAATAAAGTGTGATGTGTTTCAGACTCACCCTTCTCCTGTCAGGGCGCAGCAAGCTTGGACATGCCACGTATGTGTTGTGATGGAGTCGAGAGTGAGGAACTGAGAGATCTCTACTGCCGTCATGGAGCCCTTCACATCTTGTTTGTTGGCCAGAATAAGAACGGAAGCATTCTGCAAGTCCTATGTAAAAATAAAAGAGAAGATGGGTTTTCAGTGCTGCTTCCTGTATCACTTTGTATTTACAGAGCTGAAACATTTTCCACTGGAATCTCCTAAAGTGAACAGAAAATAGCAACGTCAGCGGAATATTTTCAGAACCAATGCACTGACTCATGCAGTCTAGGCTGAAACTTCCTCAGTACATTGTGTCATGGGTTAATAAGTTATGACACAATTAGACACTCGGAAAGTGGGAGTGAGATGTTGAAACATAAATAGCAGGAACAGGTTTAACTGAATAACAGAGCTTTACGTCACACTCAGCATTTACACTGAACTGGTTAACTCTCTATTTAGTTTATAAAACTATTCCTAGTGTAGTCATGTCAAAAGTGATGAAGTAATATCATTTCTTATATAATTCTACAGTGATATAGTACTATAATATATTTTTATATAATTACAACAAATATTTTATATTTTCATTAGGAGCTTCTTATATCTGCTTCCAACTCCATTATACAGTAGCCTATATAATAACTTTTAAACTAGAACACACCTCTCAACACTACACACACAATCTCACTGCAAATCTACAACATTTGGGATTTGTACCTCATGTGCCAGCATTCGGTGCAGCTCTTCTTTGGTTAGAGTCAGTCTTTCACGGTCAGTGCTATCCACAACCAGGATGACAATCTGAAAGAGTGACAACATATTAAAAACCAATTATTAGCACACAATTAATTAACAGGTATTTCACATTGTAGGAGCGACTGTGCAGTGACTAGTCCAGAGACATATGCTGTAAATAATGATGTGGCAATGCTAAATAACATGCTTTATCAATTCAAGATGCAAAGGATTTACAATAAGAGACCTTTGTACAGTAGGTTAATGTGCAATAGCTCAGTCAGCACTAGCCTATCAAGTTTTTGCCTTCACTCTTGAATATCAAATTTCTCAACTACTCATATCAACCATTATTTATATGCTGACTTTTAAATATGTGCAAAGTTGGGAAAGTAAGAGCTGCTAGTGTTTTGGAGAATACAAGGCCAAAAACAAAAGCAGCTAAGTCAACAGTTGGATGGGGGAGCCGAGTACAGATTCATACCTCTGTGTTGCAGTAATAGGAGTACCAGCTGGCTCGAAGGCTCTCCTGTCCTCCTATATCCCAAACCATGAAGTGACTGTTACGCACGATGATCTCCTCAACGTTGCTGCCGATAGTTGGTGTTGTGTGGACAGCTTCTTTCGTTAGACTGGACGTGTTTGTGTGGGAGGAGGATAACAATACTAAATGAGATAGACTTAGGAGTAAACGTATCAAGCAAGCAGCTGTGACACAGTTGTAGCCTCAGAAAGCAGCCATATCACTTACAATTGGTAGAGAATGGTCGTCTTTCCTGCATTGTTCAAACCCACAATGATGACTTTGTGCTCTGTAGGAAAGTAAAAAAAAAAAAAGTTTAATTTATCCTCAGCGTTGCAACCAAGTTGTTGCCATTTTCATTTAAACACCATCTAAGCTTGTGTTGTATAATTGTTTCAGTTTCAACATTACAACAAATGGACAGATGATAAGACAGAGACAGCACTGAGAGATTCTGAGCAGGATAATATCTCTTATCCTCAGAG